ACCGGCCCCCCCCCCCCCCCCCCCAGCCTCCCAGCAGCAGCAGCCGTCGTCTCAGTCCTACGGCTACAAGGAGCCCGCAGCACCAGCCTCTACACAGCGCAACGCTCCTTCTGGAGGGGGGGTGAGTACAGCCCAAGGGCTCACAGCACCCACCCCAACACCAGCCCCCCGGTTTCCACCCCCCGGGGGCTAGGGTTTGCTCTGCTTGCTCCCCACTCCTGCAGACCATGCAGGGGAAGAGCAGTTTTGAAGGGGCTGGTGGGTGTAATGCTGGGTGCCTGGTTTCTGCTTGCCACAGCTATCGCTGGCACCAGCATCCCTGTGTCGGGTGAAAACCTCCTGGATCTGGCTCTTTTGTGGGGCTCGGCGGGGCTCCTTGCCCCGGGACCCCCCTTGCGGGTGGCAGCTCTGCCCGTCTGGGGCAGGGCACGGGCAGGGTCCATGCCCGCTGACCTCTCTCTCCCCATAGAAGCGTTTCCGTGCCGTCTACGATTACAACGCGGCTGACGAAGATGAGGTCTCCTTCCAGGACGGCGACACCATCATCAACGTGCAGCAGATCGATGACGGATGGATGTACGGCACGGTGGAGCGCACGGGCGACACGGGCATGCTCCCCGCCAACTATGTGGAGGCCATCTGAGCCGCGGGAGGGGACGGGGTGCATGGCTGACAGCCGAGCCCCCAGCCCACGCCGGCCCCCGTGTGTGCGTGTGTGTGTGTGTACGTCTCTCTCTCTGCCCCAGCATCCCTTATCCCATGTGCTCTGCCGTCGCCTGCCGGAGCCGTGTCCTGACATCTCGGTTACTCTGTGTTTCTGCAGCCGCCTCCGGTTTCTCTTGCCAACTTAGCTTTCTTCTAGCTCTGTCGGGACTGAGGGACTGTCTGCAAGGGATGTTGGGGGCTCTAGAGAGCAAACTGCCGCAGCTTTCCTTCTCCTTCGGTCTCCCTCCTCTCTAGCCCTCCCAGGCGCTCTGGCATTCCCTGGCTGAGAGAAGCAGCCAGAGTTGCTGGGACCCGGTAAAGGGAGGAGGAGACCATCTGTTAGGACCATATTCCACCCCCTCTGGTGGGGACGGGCAGAGGAGCAGCAATGTCCGCGTGGAGGAGATGAGGGATGCTCGTCCCGAGGGCTGCCCTGGGCTGACGGGAGGGATGGGCTGGCAGCTCCACCCTGCACCGCTCTGGGCTTGTGCTGTTGTTTCTCCCGGCTCCTCCGTGCAGTGTTTCCATTCAGTCTTTGCTCCCTTCAGTCCTCAGAACAGAAAAACATTTGCAGTTAAAATCCTTAAACAAAATCTTTCTTTCTCCTTGGGTTTCAGAGCGGCTGCTCTGGACAGCCCTGCAAGCGGCTCTTGCTGCTTCTGCCTCGGGCTCTGGCTGCTTTGTTCTGCCTCCCTGATCCCTCCGGGGCCGAGCCGGGGCTGTGCTGGCACAGGTAAAGGAGTAGCCGCAGCCTTGCTTCGCCTGGAGGCTGGTGCTCCCACTCGAGGGCTGGAGATGGGCCGGGCTCCCCGCTCCTCTGCGCTGGAGGGGAGCACTGTGACACCAAGCCCTCACGTCCCCCCTGCAGCTCCGGCTTTCTCTTTTTGGGCCAGGGTCTGGGGGTCCCCTGGACCCCGTGGACCGGGGCAGCCCTTCCTCTCTTAGCAGCGGTCGCTCCCCAGATTCACTCAGAATCTTCCCGCTTTTCTCTTGCTGCTGCAGGGCTTTTGGGACCCTCCTGAGCCCTTCACCCGCTGTGTAGATGGTCTGGGGAGCCGGCAGGATCAGCCCCCATCCCTGTGCCTCTTCTGAGCCACGTGTGAAAGATCCTCCCCCTCTGCCACCACGCTGGGGCCTGTCCTGGGTGACTGTCCCCTCCAGTAGCTCGGTCTTGAGTGGCAGAGACCAGGGTTTGGCACCCCGAGCCACCCTGCACCTCCCGTTGGTCCCCAGCGGTGGTAACTTTTGGGGCCACCACTGACTTGGGATCACATCACGGACCAAAATCTCAAAGCACGTCCCTGTCCCCTTCTCTTTTGGGCTCCGAAGGTCGTGGAGCGGGACAGGGGCAGGTATAACTGGAAGCCTGTGCGGGGAGGGCAGGAGCAGGATGCTTTTCTCCCGGGTCAGAGAAGCCGAGCATCGGGGCAGTGGTGATGCCTGTGCACTGCCTCCGGTGCTCCCGCTGCCCCGTGCCCACTCACAGCCCCGGCTCAGCCTGGACCATGGAGACCGGGCAGCCAGAGGAGACCGTCCCCTTGCCGGGCTGCTCGGGGCTTTGGATGCGCTGCACCGCGGGGCCAGGATGCTTCCAAGAGGAAGCTGCCACCTTTGCTATTCCCAAAGGAAAAGAGGGAATCTAGGGACCAAAGTGGCTGAGTTGAGACATTCCTTGGCTGTCTTGGGGGACGCGTCCTTGGGGACACGTCCTTGGGGACAGTCTCGCAGAGGGGAGAGAGAATCCCACCGCCTTGCACTTGTAGTCCCCTTTCTCAAAGCACACGGGGCTGCAGGGCTGGTTCGTGGACGGTGCCGGGGTTGGGGTGACCGGCGGGGTTGGGGTGACGGGAGGGGGGGGCTGCTGGAGCAAATGCTGTTCTGGTGGGGAGCGGGGTCGTGGCAGGGCAGAGACCCGCCGGGAAGACGTGAGCCGGGGAGAGGGGAGCGGTTTGCTCCTGGCTCGTTCCCCAGCCAGCTGCAATGGGAGCAGGGAGAGGGACGGGGACTCGTGGCACCGTCATCCCCTCGGGGTGAAACCGGGACCCCAGAAGCAGCCGGGATGGGCTTTACGGGATGGGAATCCCGGTTGGTGCTAAAACAAGCGAGCACAAGAGCAGGGGAGAGGGGGCAGCTGGGCAGGGGGGGAGTCCACGTCTCCTTGCTAATCCTCTTCTTAATCACGTTCTTGTCTGGGAATGGGGGGGAGTATCAATGTGAATAAACTGTTTTTTAATGGACCAAATAACACAGGCAATTACGTTTTCGTATACAAACCTTTTTTTAATGCTACCTTGAAACCATTGTCCTAATTCTCCCCTCCCACGCCCTGCCCCTTCTCCCCTGCCATGGGAAACAAATCTCTTACTGCTTGATTTCTGCCTTTTCTCTCAACTTATGCACTTTTTTGCCTTTTTTCATAGCTGAAAAAGCACCTAAACCTGTATTTAAAATAAATAAATAAATAAAATAGTAAAAAAAAAAAATTAAAAGCTAAATTGCTTCTCATCACGTGTAAAATAGATCTCGTCCATCCCAGCTTCCCTGGTTGCGTCTCAGTGCTGAGCTTAGAACGTGTTTTCTTCCGGATCCGTCGCTTGATTGGGGTTTGTCCTTGTATACTCCTTCCCGTCGGGTTGAGCACCCACCAATAAAAAACTATTTGGCCTTTTTAACCGAACCATCGAATGGAACAAACCAACCGATTCTCTTCCCGGTTTACTCGAATTAAAAATAAAAATATAATTTTTACCTGCCGATTGTGCTGGCTTTGATTGCGGTTGCTTTTCTGGCCATTTTCCTGCTCCCTTGGGACACGGTGGGGATCTTCAGGGCTGGGGGAGGCTGCCGGAGCCGGGGTCCTCATCTCTGCCCAGCTCCCCTGGGAGTGGGAAACGCCGGCATCCCTGGGAGCCGACCTGGGATGCAGCTTCTTGGCTCGTCCCTTGCTTTTGGCATGGCTTGAAGCCAAGGGGCGCGCTTGAGGCGTTCGGAGCCCTGCTGCAGCGTGTCCGGCCGATGTGCTGCGGCTGCTGGGTACCACGGATCCCCAGGAAATCAGCCTCGAAATTCAGCCATGAGCCAGGTTGGAGAAACCCTCGCAGAGAGCGGGGCGCAGGCGATGCCTCCCCGCTTGCTGACCTGCTTTGGGGTCTTGCTGTCAGAGGCCAAACGCCGGTTACAACGTGGGTCTGGGATCTGCTGGGGTTCAGGTGTGCTGGTGGCTGCTCCGGAGACCGGACCCACCCAGGGAAATGGTCAGCCTTTGCTGTGGGCAGCGCAGCACGGGCACCAGGTCCCGGCTTTGCCCGACCTCTCTGGGAACGTGGCCCTGCGACAGCCGGGTCCTCCAACCCCCAGCCAGCCCTCATGCTCAGAGAGCAGCTGGCGACGGCTTAGCTTGGCCACTACAGCCTCTTAAGGTGGGATTTTCAACAACTACAGTGTTTAGCAGTGGGAAAAGAAAATCTTGAAGGTGTGTGGAGAAGGACGTTATTTGCATCAACAGCACTAGCCAAAGATACTAAAATAGAAAGGCTCCATGGCTACTGCTGCTCACTTAAGACTGTATTGCTTTAAACTGTACTGAAGCAGGTGGCGTGACACTGAAAGCAGAGGATGCTGCAGTACCCCAGGAGTACCAGAGTCCGAAAGGTGAGAGTTCAGAGCGGTCCCGGCTGATCAACACGGCTTTGCAATGTCCAAAGCTCATTTTTGCTGTTTTCCCGGTCGGATGGGCCCTTTCCCAGCTGCAAACGGGGGGTTGCATCACGTTAAGCACCCCCATAAACTGGGCAGCAGTTTGGGTAGGAAAAAGCAGGGGCAAAGCAACGCTCCCGCAGGCAGACGGTGCCCCCCGGGAGCCCTGCTCGCAGGTCTGGGCTGAGCGAGCGCTCCTCCGCCCATGCGAGGCTGAAGCCCCATCTGACCGCCGGTGTTTATCCCTTTATTTTCTGCCAGCATGCTGGAAGGCAGCTCCGTCAGCTCCGGCATCATCTCTCCACCCTGAGCAGAGCGAGCCGTGCTCCGGCGGGGGCTGGCGAGCGAAGCGGGGGCTCTCTGCCGAGCATCCCCTTTCCACGCCACGGGGAGCCTGGCAGCTCCTGCCCCACCGGCTCCTCGCTCACCATGCTGGATATTTTCATCCTGATGTTTTTTGCCATCATCGGCCTGGTGATCCTCTCCTACATCATTTACATGCTCTAGAGCGATGCTGGGGAAGATGCAGCTCAGCATCAGCCTTGCAATCAAAGCATCATCCAGGTGAGCCGGCGGCTCCTCGTCCCACCAGGCTTTAATTTCTGGGAAGAAACGTGTCTGTGGAGGGGGGGAGAGGGGATAGTTTTGTTTTCAATGCTGTTGTCTTTGGCTGCTGCTCCCTCTGCCCGGCCGAGGCAGCCGAGCTGACAGCACCAGCGCAGCTGTTTCCTGCTCAGGGCTGGAAGGAGGGCACCAGGGTTTGTTTTATAAATCAGGCCATCTCGCCCGCTGAAACGTGCACCGGCTATTGTGCGGCTGCTGGTTTCTCCCTGCTGGGTTTATCAGCCCCTTCCCCTTTGGAAAAGCTGCTCTCCGCAGCACAAACTTGTGGCTTTTGTTCCCATGAGGGAGAGAAATAAAACAGCTCAGGGGAGAAGCAAGAAGTGATCCCGGTTGCATCATTTTAAAGGAGGCAAAGGGGGGAGACCCAGCACCTCTGCACCCCAGGCAGGGCGAAGGGGTGCTGCTGCCGCTGCCTGTGCTCGCACACGCTGCCATTCCCACCCGTCACCATCTCCGGGTCTCCCGCAGCTCTCAGGCCCAGCTCAGACAAGCATCTCCTTTCTCTTCCGCAGCCGCCGCCTGGTCCGTCTCCCTCGGAGCCTTCTGGAAAAGCGTTAACCCTCTGTGAGCAAAGGGCTGCCCAAGGTGGAGCAAGGACCCACGCAGAATCGGTGCCGGCGCTGCAGAGGGGG